CTGTTATTATTATTATTATTATTATTATTATTATTATTATTATTATTAGACAGAGAACTCATATTAACGTGATATATCAAAGAACAGATCCACAGAAGTCTTGATGAGGGTTCGAATCTATGTGCTAGGTGTTCCCATACGCGCTCTAGTCAACTGTAACAAACCATGTACGATAAAAGCGTCGTGGTGGTACAGTTGACTAGAGCTCGTCTGGGATCACTCAGCCAACAGGTTCGAACCCTCATCAAGGTACTTGTGGATTTGTTCATTATGGTTAGTGTTATTATTGTCTTTTGTGTTGTTATTGTCTTTTTTGTTAGTGTTATTGTTGTCGTATTGTTACTGTTGGTGTTATTGTTGTCGTATTGTTACTGTTGGTGTTATTGTTGTCGTATTGTTACTGTTGGTGTTATTGTTGTCTTATTGTTACTGTTGGTGTTATTGTTGTCTTATTGTTACTGTTGGTGTTATTGTTGTCTTATTGTTACTGTTGGTGTTATTGTTGTCTTATTGTTACTGTTGGTGTTATTGTTGTCTTATTGTTACTGTTGGTGTTATTGTTGTCTTATTGTTACTGTTGATGTTATTGTTGTCTTATTGTTACTGTTGATGTTCTTGTTGTCTTATTGTTACTGTTGGTGTTATTGTTGTCTTATTGTTACTGTTGATGTTCTTGTTGTCGTATTGTTACTGTTGATGTTATTGTTGTCTTATTGTTACTGTTGGTGTTATTGTTGTCTTATTGTTACTGTTGGTGTTATTGTTGTCTTATTGTTACTGTTGATGTTCTTGTTGTCGTATTGTTACTGTTGGTGTTATTGTTGTCTTATTGTTACTGTTGGTGTTATTGTTGTCTTATTGTTACTGTTGATGTTCTTGTTGTCTTATTGTTACTGTTGGTGTTATTGTTGTCTTATTGTTACTGTTGGTGTTATTGTTGTCTTATTGTTACTGTTGGTGTTATTGTTGTCTTATTGTTACTGTTGGTGTTATTGTTGTCTTATTGTTACTGTTGATGTTCTTGTTGTCTTATTGTTACTGTTGATGTTATTGTTGTCTTATTGTTACTGTTGGTGTTATTGTTGTCTTATTGTTACTGTTGATGTTATTGTTGTCTTATTGTTACTGTTGATGTTCTTGTTGTCTTATTGTTACTGTTGGTGTTATTGTTGTCTTATTGTTACTGTTGGTGTTATTGTTGTCTTATTGTTACTGTTGGTGTTTCTGATGTCTTTAGGTTCCATGTTATTGATATAAACATCATTTATGGTTCTTTGGAGGTTTTGATGTATTTTTCTTTTCATATATATATATTATAAAACACGAAAACGGCTAATTTAAATTGAGTTTCTCTGTGAGATTGTTCTCTGATGTTGGCGTTTGTTACTTGTTTGCTGTTTGTACATATATGTTGTATTTTGGTAAACTCGAAGTTAATATTGTATTTACCAATAGTGCAATAAATAACTTTAGAGTCGTGATTCGTGAGGTATTGGTAAAGGTTGTTCTTACCTTGCATTGTTTAATCTGGGTAAACATGTGGTTTTGTGTTATATTTTGATGTTCTTTCCAGTCGTAAGTATTGTACCTGCGGTGTGTTGTTTGCTTCTGTGTTGTGTATGTTCTTGTTTAATTGTCCTTTTGAACTTTCGGTTAAAAGCTCGGTTGTTTATTTATTAATCTGTGTGACCAATTTGGATGTTTTTGGTACTTTATTTTATTTGAACATATCTTGTGATTTTATATAAAAGAAAAAAAACAAAAAAGTACTGTTAGTTTGTTTAGTCCTATTTTACCTGATTTGTTTGCTAGCTACTAACACTCTAGTGGCCCCGTGGAGGACAGGAATCCGGCGGCTTTGCGAAGTTATTTTAATATTTCCTGATTATTTTCGACTAGCTGAATTTTAAAGTTCAGTAGAGTTTTGGCATTTACGACTTCGGCGGGTAGACAGTTCCCTGGGTTTATAACCCTGTAGGTGATAAAGCATCTCCTGTTTTCAGTCTTTGTGGCTTGTTGAACATGATAAGATTGTTTCTTGTCTGCTTAACATCTGACCTTTTGAATAAGTTGTCTGAGTCAATATCCTCCAAATTGTTCAATATTTTACAAGTTTTAATGAGATCAGCCCTGTCACGTCTGGATTGCAGTCTTCTTAGCTCAGTGGCCCTCAACCGTTTCTGGTATGAGAGTGGAATTAGTTCAGGAATTATTTCCATATACCGGCATTGAACTTTCTCTACAGTAGATGTCTTTCCGAAGAAGAGGTCTACAGGTTTGGATACAATTATCCAGGTGGGGGCGCACCAGGTATTAATACACTTGTACAACTACCTTCTTTTCCTTGATTAAAAGTTCGTTTGATTATTCCTATGATTTGGTTTACATTTTTTACTGAAGCTCCCACTTGTGCAACTTTCAGTGATTGATGGATTCTGACTCCAAGGACCTGTTCTTCGTCAGTCTGCTGGCAGCCAGTGTGGTTGATTTGGAAGTTGTGCTGTGCATTGTTATGCCCAATATGCAAGGTCTTGCATTTTTCGCTATTAAAAAGCATTTGAAAGTCTTCTGACATTACTATATATCGATGTTTATAAATGTATAATGTTTGTATTCTTCATCTATCTTGTAATTTTTCCCATAACCATTTCTAACAATTTCCTGGTAGCGAAAATCTATTGCAAAAAATTATTAAATATTATAAGCTTCTAACAGGTTCAAGTAATGTTGCCTAGTATTACTGTGGCTATGTAATGTTTAAATTTAAATAAAGGGGACATTAGATCCCGATTTCCCAAAAAATGCATTAAATAAAAACTGGTTCGATTTCAATCAAGCTTTTTTGACTAGTTGTATATGAAAAGGGTTTCATCTGGCCCAAGTCTCAGCATCGTAGCATAAATAGGAAGGGAGAAAAAATATTGAAGTAGGTGTCAAAATTATTCCAAAATGTTCAAAAACGATTATCAAACACAAGTGTCAACTGAGATCATGTCTATGACTCTCAGCTATCACAATAGCATATATTAAAAAAAATGTATTATAATTAGTTTTATTAGAAAAAAATTTAAGTTAAAAAACTATTTTTTTTCATTTTTGTTTTTATTGGACGATTTGCATGAAACTTATACAACTGACTGCACATAGGCCTATCTGTAAGGAGAAAACTATTTTTCTGGAAAAAACTGATTGATGTCAACCTCAGCCACAGACAGCAGCACCATAGACTTTATTATTTTCGTATTTATTTTCTAGTAACATAAACGTTCAAATAACCTTTTCATTTTTTATTAAATTTACATGAAACATGCACCTTGTATGTAAAATGTATGCCTCTAAAATCGGTAGTACGTTTTTTTTCCTAAGTTCATTTATTGATTTTATAATAGCAATAAACCTGACATACTTGCATAATTTTGGACGGGAACTTTGAAAATTTGTATTAGGAAACCTAAAGATGTTTTGGAAAATACCTTACTACCGATCCTTTATTATATGCTAATGTGTCAGAAAAGTGTTATAGAATGAATATATCTGAAAGGTGTTTTTTTTTTATATAGACTTGAAAATGTGTAAAATTCGTTGAAAAAAACAAAAAAAATCTTTTCTATTTACGCAATTTCTATTTTCTATTTATTTATTTTTTCTATTTACGTACTGAAACTTGGAACAATTGCAGCCCTTTACATATACAACTAGTCAAATAATATTGGTTGACATTGAACAACTTTGAGTAAACAATACTGCCCACTTAAGTTTGCTTCACTATGCGATGGTGTTACATACTCTGTAGTCTTATAATGAGCTTCCATTGTTAGTGTTCTTAACCCTATACTAATTTATCTCCTAACATTTGAGTCTGCTTCCCACTCTCAGAACATTCTTTCTGTTTATTCTCGTCGCCCGAATTTTGTTTATTTGATCATTAATTATACTACTACTTACCAGATTGATTTTAAAATTGTTCTCTTGGCCATTTCAATCTAAGTAACTTAGTAAATAGCATAAGGAACCTGAACGTTTGGTATGTTGCTCTTTAATCCGCAGTTTCCAGGTGCAGTCACAGTGAGAGGTTGTGTTAGCTGGAGCTCCAATTGTAGTAACATTATTATTGCAATAATGGAAGGATTAGTGAAGGATTTGATAAATCTAGTTGGAACTCTGAGAGCAGAGATGGATTCCTTACGTGAGGAGGTACGACAGCTGAAACTTCGGGAAGAAACGAAGGAGATCAATATTAACAAGACCTCGCCGTGGAAAGTCGTTAAGGACAGGGGTCTTAAGAAGACCTTGACAAGGCCGCCTACAGACGCCTTAAGGACAGCAAATTCATTTGCCGTGTTGGAGGACGAATGCTGTGGTGAGCCTGTAGCTCACTCGGAACGAAAATCAGTGAGGAGCGGCGGAGCGCAGGCCCCTCAGGCTGCTCAGAAAGTTAAGGAGGTTCCGAAGCGAATTTTAGTTGTGGGAGATTCCCAGGTGAGGTATTTAGACAGAACGTTTTGTGCCAGAGATAGGGGGAACAGATTAAGGGTTTGCTATCCGGGAGCTGGAATTGGTGATATTGTTGGAAACATGAATGATATTATGATGGGAAATGGGAACAAACCCATTATTTGTATTAGTGCAGGGGGTAATGATGTTGGACGAGTTAGGAGTGAGGAACTAATACAGAGATTCAGGACAGCCATTGAATTAGTTAGGAGCAAGGGATGAATCCCGATCATATGTGGCATTCTTCCAAGAAAGGGAGTGGGAAATGAATGGATGTCGAGGGCACTTGGTGTCAATTGCCGGCTGGAAAGATATTGCAAATCAAATGCAATATCTTTCATAGACAACTGGAAACACTTCTATGGAAGAAATGAAATGTATGCTCGTGATGGGGTGCATCTATCGAGGGCTGGGGTTGTTGCTGTTGCGAACTCGTTGGAACCAGTGGTTAGAGGCATTTGTTTGGGTTTAAACTGTTAGTAGATAGTGGTATGGGAATTGATAGG